CTTTATATTTTATATATAATATATTAATAAATATTTAAAATAATATATAATAAAAAATATTATTTTAATTTAAAATAAATAATAAAAAATTTTAAATTATATTTAATTTATTATAAATTATAATTAATAAAAAAATATTATAAATATTACTTTAAATATAACTTTAATTATATTAATTAATAAAAACTAATAAATAATTTTTGTTTTATTTATTTTAAACATTTTTTATTTATATAAATTATTATAATTAATTTTATATTAATATTATTATATATTAAATTTATAAATATATTTTAATAATTTATTAATTAATTATATTATAAATAATATAATTATATAATAATAATATTATATTATATATTTAAATAAATATTATTTATTTTTAAAAATAAAAAATATATTATTAAAAATTAAGCTATAACTTTAATTAAATAATTATTATTATATAATTAAAAAATTTTAAAAAAAATTATTTTTAATTATAATTATAAGTTTATTTTTAATTTATAAAAAAATATATAAAAAATATTAAATATAAAGCTTTTAATAATTATTGCTTATTATTTATAAATAAATAAATTATTAAAATATAAAAATTAAATAATTAAAATTATAATTAAATATTATAATTATATATATTTTAAATTTAATTAAATTAAACTTATATTTATTTTATAATAAAACTTAAATTTTATATATTTTTAAATTATATAATTTATTTTTTATAAATAATTAATTTAAGTTTAAATTATTTAAACTTTTTAATTTTATTATTAATTAAATAAATAATTATATATTTAATAAAATTTAAACTTTTTATAATTATTTATAATAAAATATTAAATTAATTATAAACTTTATTATAATAAAAATTAAATAATAATTTAATTAAAAATATTAATTTTTAAATTCTTTTTTTAATAATAAGGTTTTTTTATAATTATATAATAAATATTATTTATTTAATAACTTTTTAAAAAAATATTTATAATAATATATTAAATTTTAAATAATTAAATATAAAATTAATAATTTAATATATAAATTAAATTTTTTTAAATATTATTAAATTTATTTTATTATTTTTATAGCTTATTTTTAATTTATAAAAAATAAAAAAAACTTATTTAAATAAATTATACTTTTATTAAGCTTTATTAAAGCTAATTAATATTTTAATAATAATAAAAACAATATTTATAAAGTTAAAATTATTATAAATTATTAATTAAATTATAAAAAAAATAGTTTTAATTATTTTATTAAATAAAAAAATTAAAAATATAAATATAATTAATAATATTTTAAACATTATTTTTATTATTTTTAAAAGCTTATTAATAAATATTAAAAATAATATAGCTTTTAATTAAATTTTATAAAAAAAAAAACTTAGTTTTTTAAAACCTTTATAATAAGCGCTAAATAGCCCGTTAACACAAGATTATAAAGGGTAATACGTAGTGTTTATTGTAGTAATGCTTCTAATAATGTATTAAGGTAAGTGTGTGGCCGAAGGCCACTGCCACGGACCACCCACCTTAAGTGGGTGGGTCTCCAGCCCACCAGCCACTGCGTGGCTTATAACCCCTTACCACTCCGTATTAAGTGCCGCACACACAAACAAAAGCTATTGTCCTCAATAGTAGCCACCCACCAAATCCACTAAATGGTTTGTATAAGTTTATATAAGTTTATACGAGCAGGTTATTAAAAGTAAGAACGGCAACGTGGTTATTAAAAAAGTTAAAACGGCAACATTATAGTTATAACAAACAGCTAGCAAAAACGTTGTATTATATTATTGTAAGGTTTAATTGCTGCAAAGCTTATATAGTTTAAAATCCTAAATAACAGCTTATTTAAAGCATATAAAGCCTGCCTTTTTATATAGCCGTAATATTATGTACTTGTGCTTTTTAGTAATACTAGTGGCGCAGGGTTTATTAAGTAAAAGATTCGTAAAAATATTTAGTTATTAACAGCAACAGCGTAATTATTATATTTAATCGGGTACCTAGATTCGCTTTTTAAAGTACGTGCTACCAGCAAACAATAAAGTCTTTTTTAACCACAAGAATCTCTATAAAAACAACTTGGGTTAGTTTGTAAAAGCAAACAGCTTAAATTTACAACTACTATATAATTTAACGTTTAAATAAATACCTTAATTTGCTGTATAAACAACTACATTATAGTTGTTATAATCTTAGTTGTTTATAATAAAAGCACCACTTAACACAAAATTATAAAAGGTGTAATATATAATGTTTATTATAATAATACTTTTAATAATTATTAAAATAAATAATAGCTAAAAGTTATTGCTACAAACTATTTATTTTAAATAAGTGGGTCTTTAGCTTATTAGCTACTATGTGGCTTATAACTTTTTATTACTTTATATTATTTATTTTTAAATATAAAAAAAAGCTTTATAAAATGGTTGCTTTTTTAATAATTGCTTTTTTAATAGTTGTTTTTTTAATAATTAAAAAACTTATTATTATAATAATATTAATTAACTTTTTAGCTTTAATTAAAGTATTTAATTATTTTATATAATATAATATTTGCTTATAAAAACTTAAAAAAAAAAAAAGCAAAAAAAAAAAAAAAGCTTAAAATTAAGCGTTTTTATATAATTAATTTATTAAAGTTAATAAAGATTTTTTTTTATATTTAATAATTTAATAAAAACCTTTAAAAAGTTTATATTTAATATAAATAAAAATAAAAACACTTTTAAAAAAAGTAACATTTAATAATATTTATTATATAAACAACATTTTATATAAAAATATTTTATATATTTTATATATAATATTTTTATATGTTTTTTTTAATATATTATTTTTTAGTTTAATATTTAAACTTTATTTATTATTATTATTAATAAATTAATTTATTAATAAATAATATATTAACTTTATTATTATTTTAAGCTTAATATATTTATTTTTTTTTAAAAAATAAATAATTATAAAATTTAAAGTTTTTATATAAAGTTTTTATAATAAATTTAAAATGTTTTTAGTTTTTTATAAAAATTTAACATTTATATTTATAATTAATAAAAAATAATAAATATATTATTATAATATTATATTAAATTATAAAATAATTATTTATTATTTTATTTTAAAATTAAAATAAAGCAGCTTTTATAATTTAATGCTTTTATAAAACGTTTTATTTATTATAAACTAAAGATTAACTATAGTTATTTACTTTTAAAGCCCGCAAAATTTAAAGCAATAGCGTAATTTAAAGCAAAACTATATTATATATAATATTTATTCTTAAAATGTTATAACAAGAGGACTAATAAAAGGGATAATAAATAACGAACTTAACGTATTAGTGTGATAACTGCGTTGTCCACAGCAACTTAGTAGTACAGCCGGTGGGTGGCACCATTACCTTTCCGCTAAAAGGGATCAGAATAACCAAGGTGGCAGACCTTGGCTATTGTTGCTACATATGGTGTCACACGGCTACAGCTGTATATATTTTACCAGCTGCCGCGGACCTGTTAAGACATGGCAAAAGCCACCGCCGATACCGCAGTTTAAATTAGGTTAGGCAGTAAACATATTCATCCCTAGATTCTTAGGTATAAGTAATTATAAAAGGCGCGTGCCCGCAAAAAAGAAACTTAAACCTTAAGGACCCTTTAAACCTAAAGAGAATTATTAGCTAAATAAAGCATTATATTCTTGTTTTAAGCCTTTTAGTATAACTTTTATCATATATAATTAATTATTACTTTGTTATAGCTAAAAGTGTAATAATTAATAAATATAGCTAAGTTATTATTTTTAGTTACTTATTAATTAAAAAGTTGATTATTATATTATAATTAATTAATATTTAAAAAGTTATATATATAAAGTTTTTAAAATTAAAAAAATAAACAAATTAAATTTATATAATTTTAATAATTATATAACATTAATAAAAAATATAAAAAATAATAAACATAATAATTATATATATATTAAATAAAATAATATATTAAAAATTAATATAAAAAGCTAAAAAAAGTTTTTTTTAAAAAAAGGTTTATAATTATAACATAATTATAATAGCTAGATTTATAAATTAAATAAAACCTTTAAAAAAAAGTTAAAGCTAATATTTATAATATAACTTATTTTTTTTTTTTTTAAAAAAATATTATAATATATAAACTTAATATTGCTTTATTATTTTTAATAATTTATATTAAAAATATTAATTAATTTATTAAATAACTTATTTAATTTATATATTTAATTTTAAAATTTAATAATATATTTTAATAAAAATTAAAACTTTTTATAAAATTATATTAAATTTATTTTTTGTTTTAAAATTTAAAATAAAATTAAAAAATATAATTAAATATAATATAAATATTTATTTTAATTATAAATATTTTTATTATAACTTTAAGTTATATATAAATTTATAAATAGTTAATATATAAAATTAAAGCTATAAATTTACAAATTAATTAATTGCTTTATTATATAAAAAGCAATAAATAATAACATTATTCACTAAAAATATACGGCCGTAAAAAATACTTTGCTGCTTAAAAAATTTATATATAATTATTTGCTTTTATAAATATTTTTAACTTTTTTTTTTTTTTTTTTCAAGTAAATTATTTTTTTAATAATAAAAATATATTAATGCTTAAATTATTTCGCCCTTGTTGCCTTAGTTATAATTTTATAAAAATTATATATATTAATTAAAGCTTAAAAATTTATATAATATTGTTTTTTTAATTAATTATATAATTTAATATTATTTATTACTTTTAAATTAAAAAAGCTATTAAAGCTTTATTATATAAAAAATTAAAAACTAACTTATTTTAATTTCTTTTTATATATTTAATATAAGTTGTACTGCATATTTTACTATAAAGTAAAATGAAACTATTGTTGGATAACTGTTTGTAGTGAAACAAGCAGGGCGGGGGCCAAAAAGGCCAAACACAAAGCATTTGCCCACTAGCAGAATCGAACCGCTGATCTTGTCATGGCATCTAGTGGGAAGGTCCTTCATGAACTTGTCTACTGGTGACACGCTATACCACTTAGCCAAGCGGGCGCTGAGCTGCTTAGCATTGGAATAGGTAGTGTGGTAATGTCATAAAATAAAAGAGAAGAGCCTGGAATAATACTCCAGCATAACTCGAATTGCTCGAAGAATGCGAGGGCTGTTCTCTGTTGTTATGAGCGCGGACTACGATTAGCGTTGTAGGTGATATCCACCTACTTGAAAAGGTGATACACATGGATGCTGGCTATGTATTAATCGTAGTGTTGGCTGAGCACGTGTCTCTAGTGCTAAATCCGATATCCAGCACAGTTATATCAAGTGTGAAATGATACATTAACGAGAACATGCTAGTTCTAGTATATATAGTAGTTAACAGTGGAATCTAGTTCTTAAGTTGGATTGGAAGGTCACCTATCGCAAGGCGACGGAGAGGATTTGAGTTAGTAGCAGTACAACCAAATCCTTTCAGATTCTGCTGTGTAGACTTTGTTGGTAATTATGCATCGCACTAGGACAAGTCAGCCTGACAGATGATTCCGGTGCCTATTTAGCTATAAATATTTCTTTAGGCTTAAGATTAGCTGCAAAACATACTATTAGGTCGCAAACATATTAGAAAGGGGATGGCATGAGATCGTGATATTTCTTGCGAGTTATGGGCTTTCATAATTCCTAAGTACAAAGGGGCTTATTTCAAAACGAGACTAACATATTATTGTTAGTTGACATCTAGATCTATCGGCCTAGATATTGCCTGCATCAATATGAATGTCTAGAGCGCTTATTGATTTTACTTTGGGGTCGTGAGCGGGGAGGGGAGAGCGGAGCTAGAACGTTAAGTTACAGACCTAGCAACACATGCACAGAAACAAGGCTTAAGTAACCGTCTGACAGTGAAACAAATTACTAACGTTGTGCGGTTTTAATTGTATTTCTTTGCGCTGCACAACACCTAACCTGATCGGGTCTATATTTCTCTTCTCCAGTTCGCCCCTAACCCATAAGAGCAAAAGATGAAGTACGAAAACCGTAAGCCGACTGCGAAATGCACGATGAATCTAGATAGGTTCTTAAGCTCCAGAAATTGATGAATGGAGAGAAAAAAGGAACAGGCCAGGAAGATACAGAGAATGTAGGGAACCAAAAAATTTTAGACTGTGAATGTAGTTTGGAATACAGAACAGAACTAGGATTGTTTACCAACAATAAAATTGAATATTATTCTCAAGGCAGAACAGTCAGTACTACCCTTGACGATGCACAGCGCATTTCTCGGGATGTCGAGCTGATCCCCAAGAAGCCTTTGAATCGAAGTCTAAAGGAATAAGTGGCTGTCATAGCTATATGGGAGTTGCGAGGAATGATTTTCAACTACACTAAGGGTTCGATAACTTCATTAGCCGTTTTCGTCGGTGGCATTTCTCCGTCAATTTTGTCAGCAGTAAGAGCTATCCAATCTTCCCCATCTCTCGGTGGACAAGTACCCCAATGCTGCCCCGAAATGGAGTGTTTAGTCAATCACGAAAATGGGGAAACTTACCATCAGAAATGCTATCGTACTCCTACTCTACAGGGTATATTCCAGCGCCGGAGCATTTGCTCCGCGAGTCATGAATAACCAGGAGGTCAAAGGTTGAACTATAACTGACTCGGGCACTCAAGTATAGGAGCGATCATACCTATTCGGCGAATAGCAGGTGCGGAGTTTTGAAGGAATCTAGTAGATATTCCTGATCTTGATAGTGATTCGAGGACGTCAAGAGACAACCCAATGACGGGGCGGTGGTTAATGCGTGGGACCCGACTGAATATCCTAGTAGTGACAGAAGCTAATACGTTGCACAAGCTACGTGGCACGAGACCCTCTCGTTCTTGACAACTTTGGTTATTCGCCAGTGAATCATCCTTGAAGAGGTTAGATACAGGACTAAGAGAGTTGGATTATCGAAGTCGGCGTGCTGCAAAGTCTTCGAGGTGACTGACTCACGGCGAGTATCCATGCACGCCAATCTAGATGCGAAACACCTTCGTAATACTGCGAATGGTTTTTGCCCAAGAAGTCCGATCCTTGACGGTATCAGGCTTGTCAGGCTGAGAGCAGGTGGCGATATTCGGTATAGGTGTAATATGTAAGGACCGTTACTGAAGCGTCAAAAAAAAAGTAGAGTGGCGTCCGCTGCTGGGTCTTCTAAGACATGATAAAAAGCTCGTATTCGTGACAAGTGACGATCTTCAACAAGAAGCAAGGCAGCAGTGTCCAGCATGGCGCACAACTCGGCTCAACTAATTGTACGGAGAGGGGTTTCTCTAAGAGCAATTGAGGTAAATCGCCACCGTGTTGGCCATTCGGCCTCACCGTCTTTTACATGCGAGGGGATAAAAATGAGAAGCGATATCCGAGTTAGAATACTTCCATGGCGTGCAGTCTGATATCGCGCTGTCACATGATTGGAAACACGAGAACAACATGGTATTTGCAGTGCGATGGCCAATAGAATCAGAGGTGCACTACTGAAGCTCAAGTGATCTAACGTGTATAGGCCAAGTACTGTCGGCCGCAGTGGTGCTAATAGCAGGGGCAAGGGAAAATGAACCCGGCTGAGTAGTGGGGGTAATGTAATGCTTTCTAGATGGGTTAACTCGGCATATAGTGTAAGTAAATACTGTAACGAAGATGCGGGAAGAACTCCTTTTAGAACATTTAGCATAGGCGAATTAAAAAGCCGTTGGTTGTTGGGAATCCAGCCAGTCGGTAGAAAAGACTGGGGCCATGACGTTGCATTTCGGGTTCTGTTCCGGTAAACAGGGTTCGTCTTGCAGTCGTTTGGCATTGTCAATCCCCTAATTAGAGCCTCTAATGGTACTCCAATGGTAAAGTTCGGTTCATCCCGTTTGCAATGGATCTGTGATGGATGATAGAGAGACGGTAGTCGAGCTTGAACTACTTAGTACCCAGGTACCTTGTAGATTGTGAGGTACTGCTTGCTCAATAACTCATGACGTCAGTATGCTCCTGGTTGGTGACCTGTCGCCCGCAAGCATTATGGCGATTACATCTCGGTCGCATCGCTGTGTATACCATACCAACTGCTCGTCGTGGGTTGTTGGAGTCATCTCGAATATCGTCGAAAAGTAGCAAGTGATGTTGAATGGTGTAGGTACATTACCGATCCAATCATTTAGGTGGACCGGGTACCTCGAACGGCCGCATGCCCTTACGGTACTATAAAGTACATACTTTGTACAGGTAATAATGCATTTTGCCGACTTCGGTATGAGCGCGGTGCTATATTCAAGAGCGTTTCTGCTTACGAGTTCGATTTGTACACAAACTGAAATGTAATGGAGACGTTGAAGATGTCAAGATGTCATGTGGTTGCGACTTACACTAGACTAGATATTTTGCAGGGGCCCCTGTCGAGGTCTAGACGGGCCGTTTCATGGTACGCGTGGCATTAGGTGTTGACTTCAACTGCGCCACATTTGTGGCGCTGATAACCATTTGCCACAAGGCCACTTCGCTTCTGCGCTGTGGCTGTTTCAACTGGGTTAACGTACGAAGGGTCTGTCGATCATTCGCGGCCTAGGGGTCTGACTGCCGAGACATGATCCAAAAATATACTCTACAGAGTACTTTACATGGTTTGTTTCACCGGTTGTCTCGGTGGGAAAAAAAGAAAGGGAATCAGGGATGCCGAGGCCGATGTTCTAGCGTTCAACTAGATTAGAACTGTCTCTTTTGAAGGGCTTGAAATTGCCACTTGTTCGTTGGGGGACTACTGTGGCTCTGCTTGGCCAACAAATTGCTACACGAACATCCCAGTAAAAGACAGATGTGGTGGCCCCTTTGTCTCGAAGTTCGACTGTGGTATGTTGTAGAATTTCTTGATAAGCAAGACCCGTCATATCCACAAGGGCATACCCATGGTAGCCGTTCGTCGGAACCGATGCAAGTAAGTACGTAGAGGATCGATCGCGCTTAGATGCACGAGGCCCTAGTTAGGTTGTGGCTTCTGAGGGTCTTGGGGTAAAAGCCAATTTCGGGCTCCTCTCTGATAAACCCCTAATTGGTTCGTTTGCCCGTTGGCCGCTAAGTACCAAGGCGCGTGTGTACCCTACGCTAACCCGCGTAACATTTTAATGCGAGTTCATCATTATCACTAACACCGCATTTGCAGCCTTGCCATCAGCTCTTCGCCCTTTGGTTCCGATGTGCCTGCCAAGATATTAAGAGAAGACAGGTGGTTGCAACGTGGGCAGATAAAAACACCACTCATGAAAAATGATTGCTCGGTACCGATGACGCTCACATGTATAATCATGTTGTCCCAGCTTATTTTAGGATATCAGTGAGGTATGAAGGTTTGAGTTTTCCACATTTGCTATCGCCAGGGTGATGACACCTCGGAAGAAGAACCGCAGTAGATAGGTGTGGTCTTCTGATGTGGCAATGCATAGGTCAATGGGTGAGCACAGCCATAGTCCACGCACTCCCCACGCGCATGTACTGTGTTGTAACCGAGCGAGGCGCGAGGCTGTCTCGATAGTCGCCACACTTTAGTCTCCATAGTCCGTAGTTGTAGTCATGCAAATGATGGTTAGAGGCTAAACGGGGCGTCTTGGTTTTAATGTTCCCCGTAACTGAATCCATTGCCAAGGGTGGTTTGTTCCGGGCGGCCCGCATATGACCGGAGCAGGGGCAGTGAGCTCTTTGCAGGGTGAGAACATCAATTCAACTACTAGTACCTGACTATGCAAATTTCCTGGGGAGATGTACCGGCGCCCTGTTCAGGATACATTGGACCGATTTGAAGGGTTCAATGCATAAGAGGGGATCGGCAAGGAAAGGCGATCCAGAAGCAGCGCAACGAAAAATCCCGGACGACCAAAGGGAAAAAAGGTAGCAGCTAAAATGGTAAGCGCCGGGAGCCGTTGCAGCCTATCAGACACTTGCAGGAGCTTTTGCTCCGGCCTCAATCCTCTCAATGATTACACACAAGACAGAAAAAAATGTAGTATTGTTGAAGCAAGAGGTGAATATTGATTGC